TTGTAAAAACTCGTGTGTATTGAAGTCACGGATTATTAAAGCATTTTTAAGTGCAAGTGAAAGCTCAAATATTTAAAGGGAAAAAGCATAATCTGCAATAAAGACATTTATATATAGTAACCCTAAAGAACAAGGGTGATATTCTTGTCATCTAACCCCAAAACGCCAGGGGCAGGCAAAAAAAAACCTTCCAAAAAGTTGTTAGAATAAAAAAAAAGGCAACATAAGGGAGTTCCAAGTAAGAGCCAACAAAAGAGTATGGAAAAGGAGAAAAGTTAAGGAGCATCATCAACATGAGAAGAGGGATCAACTTGGGGAGAAGAGACCTGAACACCAGCTCTGCGAGGAACAAGTCCATCTCCGGCACCCTTAGAACCTTCTTCTTCAGGTGTGAAAAAGCTTTGACGTTGCTAAGTTTGATTAATTTCTTCTCTAGCCCCAGCAATCTCAGCATTAAGGTCAAAACCTTCCTGGCTGGCTTCACTTAAAGTCTCGAAGCGAGTGTTCAGAAAAGTCCAGCTAACATCTAACGATAACTTATCCTCGAGGGCCTCATAGTCTCTCTCCCACTGATCAATTTCGGCTCTCAGCTCTTATTCTTCTACTTCCGATGCTTCATAAGCTGTCTTCAAAGGAGCAAGAGAACTTTCCAAGAACTGAATTTTATTTGTAGAGGTGCGGAGATCTTCCTGAGCTTGGGTAAGTGTTTGAATCAATTCACTTGCGTAAACCTCTTTTTGATTAAGGAGTTCTTTCAAATCCCTTATCTCTTCAGTAGCCTTGGAAAGTTGTTCAGCAAAAGAGGATTCCAGTCTATCCTTATCCTTCTCAACTTGACTGGAAGAAGCTTTTTCAACCGCTAACTCAGCGGAAGTCATTCTCATTTATCATTCCAAAGCACTTTTCTCTTCTGCAAAAACGTCCTTTTTCCAATTGAAGACCTTCGAATTGTTCTTTCCAGTTGTCAGCCTCGGTACGCAATTTAATTATCTATTGATCAGTCTGAGAGACTCTTTTCATAAGCTCCGAACCAATCAGACTAATCTACAAAAAGGTAGGGAAAAAAGAGTTATGAGTGAGAAAAAGGAAGGAAGGAAATGTAAGCAAGCTTATACCTTCAGAGAAGAACGAAAAATGCCCTTCATTAAAGTCATTGAACTATGGCTTTCCAACTTCTTCTTCTCCACGGGTCCTAACAATGGCTTCAGCCACACATCAGCTTGACCAGACTTCCTCAATAAATTTTCACCCCTAGGAACCTCAATTACAACTCTTCTCATTTCCCTCATGTTGCTAGAAGGCTCAGCTTCTACATGAGAAGCAGCAATGGGAGCAACAACCGGAGTAACATTAGGTAAAGACATAGGGGGCTAACAGTAGATGAAACTGGAGAGGAATCAAGAGGCAATTCTTCAGAAACAGGCCTGAAGCCTTCTTTACCCTCAAGGCCATGGGCAAACAACCTATCAACGGGACTAGATGGGGATTAGCTACGTCTTCATCAGAAATTTCTAAAGGAGTATTATCTGGCTCGTCAATGAGTCTGAAAGGAATTGAACTCGACAGAGGATCATAAGAAGTAGGGGTTTCATCGTCAGAAATCACGCGTCTCCTGACACGCGGCTTTTTCACCAAAGAACCTTCTTCTACCTCATCTTCATTATCAGACCCACGAGCTTCACCAGTTTTCCTCTTGGAGGAAGAAGCACTCAAAATTCGTTCCTGAGCAAGGCTTATAGAAAGCATGGTTGATAAAACAGATGCGAAACTAATGCCACGAATAGCAAACCCTAATAAAAAAAGAGGATGATGAAAAAAAAATTACATATGAACAAGCAAAAGAAGAAGAAAAACTAAGAGGGTGAAGAGTACCGTGCGTCTTCACTTTCAAACCGAATTTTTGAGAAAGCAATTTTCACAATCTTTTATCCATAGGAGCAGCAGTCAATATCTTTTCTACCCAAGTACGGAAGTTCGGAATTTCTTCAAAGACTTCCATAGTTGCTGGAAAAATGGATATATGGTTACATAAAGGAATTTATGATATAAAAAAAAACTTACGTGCAAAGTTTTATTTTTTCTGGAAAAATCATGTTTTCATCACCCACTAACCCACTCGTGGGGGCAGCAACAAAACGGGCGTACCAGCCACGGTTCCGGTCATCTTCAGGGCTAACTAATACTCTTTTACTTCTAGCCACGAGGGAAAAGACTCCTCCATGAAACAACTTGGGGGAATAAAGATGAAGTAAGTGACGAAAGGTAAAAGGCACAGTGACCAAATCCGATAAATAACGAACGCATGCTACCGCCCTCCACACGATGGGACCAATCTGACCAAGACACACATTAAAATAGCGATAAAACTCTATGATCACTGGATCAATGAGAGGCTTAAACCCTATAGTGAAAGGGTAGGTATAAATAAAAGAAAACCCGACATGGTAAGAGGTGATTCTTTGATTAGCATCAGGGATTAAAACTGGAAAATCTAGTTTCCAATAACATTCTCGTTGAACTAAGAAAAGTAGGCTAGGAGTGATTAAACTTGGATAAAGTTCAGCAGGGTTAAGGGAAGCTATAGAGGAGACTTGATTCCTCAAGGTCTCACAATCTGACCCAAAAATAATTCTTGAGGAACAATCTCAGCAACCGTAGGCTCTCGCACATGTTCATTCAGGTCCCTATTTCTAGAAGAGGATTTAGGGGTCAGAGGAGCCCTAGGTTTAGAAGAAGATGGTCTAGCAGAACTACTTTGAGAAGAGGAACCACGAGTAGATAACGAACCAAGGCTACGAAGTCTACCACCTCTCCTACTTCTAGTAGGGGCAGTAGAAGGAGCGAGTTCATCTACGATCACAACTTTGCGAGGGTGTGGTATTGATGAAGACATGTTTAACAAAAGAAATACAGAGGAAAGGTACAGAGATATGAAGAAGGACTAAGATAATGGATACAAAAGGAAGAAGGTCTCAAGAAATCAAAAAGTATGAAGTATTTATAAAGAGATACAACCATCGTTAAAAATAGTCATTATGAAGCGTCATAATGGAACCGTTACTTCATGACTAACGTAGCCGCAAAAAAAACCCTAAAAGCGCTGAGAAACTGGAGATCCAGTCATAAAAAGCCACTTGGTATGTGCATTAAATGAATGTGACATACGTCGCATCGATTCTCAAGGAGGCATAATGATACTCGAGAAAACGGTGGCAAAGAATTCCTGCCATAAAACTTACCACTTCCTGAATATTCAGTTGAGAATATTCAGAAAGTGGGGGAGACTATCTGTATTGGTGGAAAAAAGACATGACATGTGGGCTTTCAACAAACTGACGGGGCATGATACGTGGAACATCGATGTAAGGACAAATGGCATTCTTAATTAGACGAATTAAAGAGTGCAGAAAAATGCACGGGAGAAACACCCACGGGGTAAAGGAAGAAACAAGAGCGGAATGAATCAAGGCTGCAAAGAAGGGAAGATACACGAACCTGATGTAAATATAGAAGGGAAATCGGTACAATTACAAGAAATCTTCAGTCATAAATGTTTTCGTTACGGTTAAACATGGTAACGGGCAATCAATACAATTAATACCATTAATGAGCCCAAATTAAGTAAGGGGGTCGTTATAATTGTATGCACCTATATAAGGGTTGACATTTCATTTGTAAAGGTAAGTAACTATTACTATTGAAATCCATACTGTTATTCTTTGCTTTATTCTCCAAGCTTTAAGCCTTAATTCTTGAGAGTGATTATTAGTTCATTTTTTATTTTCTCTATCAATCATTTTGATCCATTCTTCCAAAATCATTGAGAAAGTGAAGTAAATGTTGGTTATCAGTAACCCGATTTTTTCTAAATATTGATTTTGACCGAGAAATCTATTTTTGGTTAAACATCTTCTAAACTTGATATCCAAACAGAGCCCTGTCTCTTTGACAAATTAATCCGTCAGTAAAAGACATCTTTCTGAATTTTATGGAATAATTAAGCATCTTAATTAATTAACAGTACTAGATCTAGTCTACAAACTGTCAAAATTATTGGTATACTAACACTAGTAGTACTTACTACCATTTAGTTAAGGCATCTTGATAGTCCCAAGATAAAGTAAAGGGAATCAAAGCCAGATCTAAAACAAAGGACTGTCCTCACGAGAAGTTCAAGGGCAACTAAAAAGTTTCTTATATACTCCTTCAACTAGTGAGTTAAGAACGACGTTCGAATCCAAATGCAGCCTCAAAACTGTACAAATCATCTTCTATTAATCAATTATAAATTGAATAAAAGAAAATAATCTTATAAAAAAATTTATTGTATTTTATCTATCGCTTTTTACATTATATTTAATTGATTTCTTGTGAACAATGATCATATAATTAAAAATAAAATTTGTAATGGATAATAAAATCTATCTCTTGTCATAATATTTTTTTTTTTTTTTTTTTTTTTTTTTTTTTTTGTGAATCGTGCTTCATTTTGCGACACTGTGTGCCAATAGAATCTATAACAAAATTTGCACAAAATACTAAATTAGCGGGGAACTTTTTGATAATTATACTAGATTCGTTGGAAGAGAAAATAGTACTATTATGAAGAATAAAAATACATGCAAATAATAATAATTCTTTAAATTAAAAAGAATAAGAGCTTGTTTGGCCATGAAATATTTTTTATTTTTTTTCAAAATCAGTATTTGTCTATAAAATTTTTAATTTTCATTTGAAGATAAATTTTAAACTTTTTTAAAAAATTCAAAAACATAAAAAAAGTTATTTTTCAAAATGATTACTCATAAAAAATGGAGTCTCAAAATCAAAACGGTTCAAGGAACCAAACAAAACAAACAGAAAAGCAAATGGGTGCCATGCCCATAAAATAAGTGGTGAGCCCACTGGTCTTAGCCACCTATTAGTATTACCCACAGTTTATATACAAATGGATGCCCATATACACACACACACACAGTGGATCAAAACGGAAATGTTCTCGAACTATCAACTGACACCTGTCCATTTCCCCTTGATCCGAAAAACCCTCGCCTTCATAACCCTCTCCTTTTTCCTTCTCCTCATTCTTCCGCCACCCCTGTCTCTTTCTCCCCCTCTCTCTCAATTTGCTCAAACATCAAAAGCTTCCTCAAAATAATCAATGATCTTGAATTCTGGTGAGGAAATGTTGGATCTTTTATATGGTGATTCACTTTCCCTCTCAAATCTGCTTGCATAAATATAGGCTAAAACGTAAAGGGTATATTGGTAGTGTATGTATATAACTAATAGTAACTTTTCATACGTATAGTTTTTCACTGATTTGAGCTCGACCCATTTGAGAACTCATGAAATAAGTATCTGGGTTGGTTTTAGTTTTGTGTATTAGTAACTTCTACATAGTTCTTTGTTTTTTGAGGTTTCCCTTTGTCCTTTTGTTTCTTGTATATGTTCGGTGCTCTTTTAGATAATATATTTGTTGTAAGCTCCAGCTAAGTAAGGGATTGAGCTGAGCGAAAATTATTACATCTTAGCGCATCCGTTTTCTTGTTGGTTAGTGGATAACAATTTGGAGGAATTTGGTGAAGTATTGTAAAAGTGGCGAAAATGAGTTTGAGTGCGGCGGAGGATGATTCAACGACGGAAATTCATCTTCCTGCCGACATAAATTGGGAAATGCTCGACAAATCTAAGTTTTTCTTCCTCGGAGCAGCGCTATTTTCGGGTGTCTCTGCAGCACTTTACCCGATTGTGGTGTTAAAGACACGGCAGCAGGTGATAACTACCCAAATTCCTTGTCTAAAAATGGCAGTTTCCATTTTGAGGAATGAAGGATTCAGGGGTTTTTACAGAGGATTTGGTACTTCCCTTACTGGGACAATCCCTGCACGTGCCCTGTACATGGGGGCACTTGAAATGACCAAAAGTAATGTAGGAACTGCCACTGTTCAGCTGGGATTTTCCGAGGCGTCGGCCTCCACTATTGCTAATGCCTCTGCAGGGCTAAGTGCTGCTATGGCTGCTCAATTGGTTTGGACGCCAATTGATGTTGTGAGTCAGAGATTAATGGTACAAGGAAATGGGAATACTTCTTGTTGTAGTGCTGTTAGATTGAAGAATTACAATGGTGGAATCGACGCGTTTAGGAAGATAATTTATAGTGATGGATTGAGAGGATTGTATAGGGGATTTGGTATTTCAATACTGACTTATGCACCTTCAAATGCAGTTTGGTGGGGATCTTACTCTGTTGCACACAGAGTGATTTGGGGTTGTATTGGGTGCTATTGTTGCAAGAAAGATGAGAATGGTTATAGGCCAGATGGGAAATCAGTGGTGGCTGTTCAAGGGCTAAGTGCTGCAATGGCTAGTGGGGTGTCTGCATTAGTTACAATGCCACTTGACACTGTTAAGACAAGATTACAAGTCCTAGATGGAGAAGGGAATGGTCAGAAATCACCAACAATTTTACAGACTGTGAGGAATTTGGTTAAGGAAGGTGGATTTGCAGCATGTTACAGAGGATTAGGACCAAGGTGGGCATCAATGTCTATGTCTGCAACAACTATGATCACTACCTATGAGTTTCTCAAGCGGCTATCTACCAAGAATCAAGAGAGCTTTGCTTGATGGATAATGTTTCCATTGGGGCAAAAATGGCGGTATGGTGCACTAAGCTCCCGCTGTGCGCGGGGTTCGGAGAAGGGCCGGACGACAAGGTATTATAGTACGCAGCCTTAACCTACATTTCTGTGCAGGTGGTGTTCTGTGTTTTTAACCCCTTTTGCTGTTTTCTTGTTCTTATCTTTTGATGCTGCCATTGGGTGGCCTGCCTAATTGCATACCAACTATGTAAATTTTTGTAAAAAATGTAGCAATATTTGGGTTCATCTTTTATCTTTCATGTTGTCTCATGTCCCACTCTTATCCTATCATTATATTTCAAAAATGATAAGTTTCTGGCTATGTTTGAAGCTTTTTTGCTGTGTATGAATGTGAAAGTGATGCTTGTTTAAATGCTTTTAATTCTTCACATTTCTGTGCTGTGGAAGCTGTGGAACATTTCATGGCTGTTAGTTGTTACCAACTCTCCTCCAGCCCCCAACAAACCCCTGATTGATATTTTTGCCCCCTGGTAAGTGTTAATCAGAGGTGGTCCACAGTTTCAGACATGACTATATGTGCATGAATTTTGGTGCTCGAGCTGTCAATCTAGCATTTGGGGGAAATGGTTTCTTTAGACTCTTGTACCAAGATCTGAGGCCAACATTTTTTTTTTTTTTTTTTTAAATTACACCCC